TAAAAAGAAGCTCAAATTGAATGGTCTCAAAACCCAGCAAAACAAAGTTAGAAAATCGGTGTGATTTAAAGAGATACATTTTTTAACCAATGGGGAAAGTAAGTTATGCCTCATAGTTTTCAATTTTTATTCCCAATTTGGATCCAATTTGTGGCTATTAAGATGTCTGGTTAACCTAAGAATGGTTTTGGCTTTCACAGGTAAATGACAATGGACTGTTCCTGGGATCAGATTTAAGAAAAACTAAAAATCAATGACAGGAAAAAAAAAGAAAGAAAGAAAGTAGAATGAAGATGTGTCAAATTTAGAGAGTGTTGTGATGTCCAAGTTTAGCACTAGTCAGTTGCTAAGCTTGTATTCTTCTTTTTTACATTATTCTCAGTGACCCGTTATATAGTCTTTCTCTTGCACTTATGCAAATTAGGCATATTAATTTGCCAGTACATCTCCCTGAAACGTATAGGTTTTATACCTCTAGTAGTTCTTGTACTTCTTCTCGTGATAGTTTCATTACTTTGGTCTACTTCTCACTCTCCTGAATTTCTTTCTCTGGGAGACCTAGATCTATCCCGCGCTATGCTGTAATCATAGGCATCTTCTTGCATTATTTGATCTTTGTCCGAACTTTCAAACTCATTCTGTCCCACTTGATCCTGCATTATTTCGTCTTCTGATGTTTCATTCTGTAACAGTTGTTCTAATAAATCATTAATGGATGGAATTGTAGACATTTCCTCCTCATTTTGCTTTTCATATTCACCCTGGGTCCTTATTTGATCTGCATGAGCTAATACACTGTTGTCGTTTTCTCTATTTATTATAGCTGTATTGTGGCCTTTTTGCATGATAAATTCTGCCCTTTCTGGATTTGCTTCTTTATTCTTTTTGTACCACATTTTTTCATTTGTGGAATACGACATCATTAGTGGAGCTCTAATTTGCCTTCCCATTAAAGATGATGGGCTTTCTAGTCTTCCAGTGTGTGGTATTGTGTGATAGCTTAAAAGCAGCCTAGGTAGAAAAATTTCTACTTTTTCTTTTTGCTGAGAACATGCTTTTAGTCCAGTTTTTACGGTCTGCACCATTCTTTCTGCTAACCCGTTCGACTGAGGGTGATATGGGGGTGTCTTATATGGTTTACATCCTATTTTTTCTAATCATAAATTAAGATCTTCATCACAAAATTCTGGTGCGTTGTCAGATACCAGGGTTTTTGGTATGCCGTTTCTGGAAAATATGACCCTTAGAATCTGTTTTATCGTAGAACTTTTCTTGTCTGGCACCCAGATTATTTCAGGCCATCCTGAAAAAGAGTCTACTAGAATTAATAAGAGTCCCACTCCAGTAATATATGCATGATCCATATGCACCAGACTCCATGGTTCCACTTCTCTGGGCCACGAATTTAAAGTAGTCTGTGTAAAGTTTCTTAATTCTTTACATTTTTTGCACCTTTTTATATATTCTTTGACATCTCTTGAATATCCCGGCCACCATGCTTCTAGTTGTCCACACAATAGCCAACGCTTCTTTCTCTATATTTGAATAATTAAATTTGGTGTTCGTTAGTCTTCTTGATAAATACATTATCGGATGTCCTTCTTGTGATAATATTCCTGATATCGAATGTTTGCTTGCATCTGTGGTTAACGTAATGTCCTTTTTTGGATCAAACATCTTCACTATTGGCTTCTTTGCCATAATTACTTTTAATTTATCAAAAGCTTTTTGTTGTTCCTCTGACCACATAAATTCAGCATTCTTCTTTCTTAAATTTGCAAACGGTTCAGTCAAGTCCGTGTATTTTGGTAAATATTGCGTTACTTCACTCTCAGTATCAATTTGCATATCTAAATTGCAGATGTTGATTTTAACCTTTAGTATAATGTCTTTTTTCTTTTGTTCAATTTTTTCTATATTCTTATTTTTTAATGTGAAGACTTCCATATTGGTTTCATTTTCTTCAACTCTTTCAACGTTTTTCTTTTTGAATTTGCATACTGCTTGAAAGTGGTTCTTTTTTAAGCAATTTATACAGGTTTTTCCAAATGCTGGGCATTTTTCCCTTTTTATTTCATGTTCACGTCCACAATACAAACATTTTATCTTTTTTAACATGTACGTATCAGCGAATATTTGTTCGCTGGGTTGACTTTTTTGATGGTTGTATTTCTGTATTAAATCTTGTTGCTGGATAAAGTCAATGCATGTATTTAAAGATATATTTCCTATTTGTAGTTGTTCCATTATTTTATATCAGTGTGATGCATTGTACATACCTTCAATTAACTTTAATTGAATCAAGTCCTCTTCAATAGTCTGTTCGTCTTGTCCGAGTTTTTCAAATTTGCAATATCTACTCACATTTCGTAGACGGTGTAGATATTTTATGATTGGTTTGTCAATTTCTTGTTTCATCGACATGAATTTCGTTCTTTCTGCCACTACCAGCCTTTTCTTGGGTCTCATATTTCTCCTTATAATCTGACTTATTTTTTTCGAAAGTCAGGTCTTCCAAGTTTGTGGGATATGCCATGGTGGAGACTTTTATTATCGTCTCACATCCAGCTGTAGCCAAAAATAAATCAGTAATTTCATTTTCGCGTCCCTTCTCCTTGTTGTCTTTCAGCTTTTTACTCTCGCACTGGCAGAAAAACAGCGAATCCATGCATCCATGTAATCTGAATATTCTAGAGACAAATGCAATCCTATCTGTGATGCCATTGTTGTGATGTCCAAGTTTAGCACTAGTCAGTCGCTAAGCTTGTATTCTTTTTTACGTTATTCTCAGTGACCCGTTATATAGTCTTTCTCTTGCACTTATGCAAATTAGGCATATTAATTTGCCAGTATCATTACAGAGAGAGAGATACAATTATCTTTCTTGCAAAAGTTTGTCACAAATATTTCAGATATTAACCCTGATTTGAAACTTCTAAAAATTTGAGATTTGTCTCAGATTTTAATCCCACTTTGTAAAACTGAACTATTGTCTCAAAAGAAAACACCAGGCATCTCATCTCCAGTCACTTCCTTACTGACATAACATGGCTTCCCTTTGTCCTACAAATATTTTCATGGCAACTAAACAGACAAGCTTTTTTTCCTGGTGCCCCGACTACATGAATTTAAACGTGCTACTAGATTGGCAACTAGGTCTCACAGTTTTACTGTTCAACTAGCTAGATGTAACTGACATTTCTACTCTAACAGTTTTTGTTTTATTTGCACTTTCCACTTGTGGAATTCCCTTCCAATTTCTTGATTTCCTGATAACTACAACCTTCAAAATTTAAATGTAAGAGAATCTATTTTTATGAATGAAACTTTTCCAGGTTCTGGTTCATTTAGATAAAAGACTTCAAAGGACTCTTTGATGTGGTCAGATGACCTTACAAGTGGAGGTCTTTCATCTGGGTGTTCATATTTGTTGGTTAGCGCCAAAATTAAGCAAGATTGCTGACAAAGTCAGTTGTAGAAATCTTCTTCATTTACTAACATTCGCTGACCTGACATGTAAACACAGCAACTCTTGACTGAAGTTATTTTGAGGTATTTCTAACTTCTTGCCAGCAAGCCTTTATGTCTTTTTCCTTTTTAACTACTGACCGTAATGACTAAATTTATAATAAAACCCTTTTTTTTTTATATATAAAACTTAGTTGGTCGTCATGTCATTTCCTTCTTTTTATCTTATTTCTTTTGTTGTACACATGACATGAACCTGTCCCTTTTTTTTCCTCAATCTTCTCCATTTTCAATCTTTTAATTCTTATTCACTTTCACTCAATGTAAACTCTGTGCCCTAGTGGCATCGTCGCCATGCTTGGGGTGAAAAGATAAAAAAAACAAAATAACACAGAAACCCAGTGATGTCTGCAAGAAGTCTTCGGTCTCAAACTCTTTTTGGCAGTTGAATGTATGGAAGCAAGTGAATATTTTGTTGGTAATAACAATTGTTTTTTTTTTATGAGCCCAAAAGAATTGTAATTAAACCTGTTACCTTGCCTAAGTATTTGGTGCACAAAGAAAAATTTTTTATTCTGTATTACTATTGTTATTTTTTATGTCATTTATTAAATGTAATTTTTTTTTAAATTTCACACCAGAATAAGAATCTTGTGTTTTTTATTTTGCACCATTCATAATACTTGAGGTAAAAGGGAAGTAGGCAATCATTACTCTCCATGACTTCCTGTCCTTTTCTTCACTCTTTTCCACCCCCTCTCTCTTTGACACCTCACTTCTTTTTTGCTCTCTGCAAATTTTATCTTTTATTTCTCCAAAACCTTGTACCGCCATCCATTTGCTCAAGACCTTTAAATATGTCATACATTGTTTTCCTTTGTCCCTCTTTCCGTCCTGTGAGTGTCAGATTTTTCAAACACTCTTTTCTCATTACATGTCCCAGAAATTTCAACTGCCTCTCCCTGAAGTATAAGTTTCCTCTTCATTTTCATGTTATGCATTGTTCTCCTGTCCCTCTTGCATATGAGTATCAGATTTTCCAAACCCTTTCCTCTCATTATGTCCTACAAACTTCAACTGTCTTTTCTTGATGTTAAGTATAAGTTTCCCTTTTCTTTAAAACTGTCATTGCTCGCATGTTTGGTCCAGTATCCTTCTGTAGAACCAGATTGCTGTTGCTTCAAGTCTTCTTCATCTTTGAGAACATTGTCCAGTGATACAGGAGGATAGATATCATGTAACATTTTAGTACTCTTTTTCTTGTTTCTAGCAAGGGTTGTTTTTTTTTAATACACTTAGCATTTGGAATACATTTTTTAGCTATCCCAATCTGCCTTCAGATTTCAATGTCACACTTTCCCTCCTTTGTTAAAATACTCCCTAGAATTTAAATTTTTGTACTTCTTTCATTAATATTGCAAGGACTAAATGAGGTGTTAATAAGATGCAGGTGTAAAACTCTACTGATGTCATTTTTTTTTAATAATAATAATAAAAGAAAGATATAAAGTGCAATAAAAAGAAAATAATACCTGCTCCTTTATCTTTGCATACAGCGCCTTGACTCTTTTTTTGGCTGGTTTCCAATCCTGTGGAGATTCCATTTCTGAAGAAATTAACCAAAAAATATTGGTAAGCAAGATTTATTTTACCAGATCAATTAAAAAAAAAAAAAAAAAAAAAAAAAAAAAATCAATGTGTGCCTTTCTCAAAACATGTTAGTGAAATATTTTTTATTTCAATCTTTTATTGAAGACTAACGGAAAATCATTGTTCTGTCTTTTCCAAGAATGGAAGGCAATTCACAGATAGTAAAGAAAAGGAATCTGTGGAGAGCCATGACTCTCTATGTTCTAAAGGGATGTGACAATCTAAATAAATAAAAAAAAAACATTTTAAGCAATTTTTTTATCTAAGAACTCATAATTGATTTCACATCGATTTTCACAATTATAAAAACTGATGCCCCTGCACGAATTCAACGCATTGATTTATGTAAAGAAATTTTATATATATTTGTGTGTGTGTGAGAAAGGGGGGGTGTGCGATGGGTATTTAATTGCCATTTTATAATTTTAAATTCACGCATGCACGTTGTTTTTGTCGACTGCACAGTATAGTAGGGTCAGTTGGGCACCGTCTGTAAGAAAAAGAGCACCATGTCAATTCACTCTGTCAGAAATTTGGAAGCTCCAATACAAACATTTCAGAGCATTTGGGTGTCAATCTCAGGACAGTGCAGAGGATTTGGAAAAAGTTGAATGAGTCTAATGGTGATTACGAAGGTGTTTAGAGTGATTACTAGTTATGAAGACTTCATTTGGGAGTTGTTTTATTAGCTTTGTTTTGTTGCACATCCCACTTTGTTTCCATCTTTTTATTCCTCAGTGTATATTGGAAGATGGTTGGAGTAATTGTTTTGGATGGAGAGGAGTTTGTCTTGGAAGGATTGATCTTAGCTTCAGGATATTTGTCAAGTTCCAGTAATATGTGTGGGTGGATGATTAACTAAGGTTGTGGTGGAGGTAGATTTTACTGTTTTCTGGACATCTGTTATGTCCATCCGAGTTTTCAATATGAGTTCTTTGAAACATAAGCTGTATGGTTTAATGGTATCTTCAATTTTGTTAGTGTTGTGAATTGTGGTTGGAAGACACAAATTATATGTTGGGTTTGATGGACAGGATGCTAATTTTATATAATACTGTGCTCCCAGTTTCTCCCTCATTGTTGTTGGAGAGGGTCAGAGGCCTCTAAATACAAGCTCTCTACATGGGATGTAGTCAAGGCTTCTAGATAGAACTAGTCTGTCCTTGGTAGTGTATCGTGCATAGTTCCTTTAGGTATGTTTTTCTTGCAGATCCATATATATAACATCTGTAATCTAGGTTTGGTTTCGTTTGTTTTACGACTTATCAACCTCAATGGGTTATTTAATGCCAACAAGATTTTTAGGATTAGTTCTTATGAATAGAATATGTATTCTTTGGTTTATTTTGGTTTGGCTTATTTTGTTGTACGGCATATCAACCTCAATGGGTCATTTAATGCCGACAATTTTTATTGCTGGTAATATATTTTTCTTCAAAAATCTATTTCTGGGAATATTTTTTTCAAAGAATGTATAACTGTATTGCTGGTATTTTTTTTTTTAAAGTATTGCTGATAGTAATTTTTTTTTATTACAAAGTATTTCTGGTATTAAAAGCTATTTTTACATAAGTCTTGGTTGTTAACTATTCGCACATGGTTGCTGAAGACATTAGGTTTATAATACCCAGATATCCTCAAGGACACATGGCACAATGGATAAAGGCGTTGGTAAGATCTTACAGCGACAGGACTCAAAGAGTGTGAGTTCAATACCCGGTTATGGCAGTGGAGAACTTTCAGAGGGAAACTAACAGGAGATAACATGGCACGTGGAACTAGAACAGTCTACCCCAGTGAGCGAAATAAAGGGTTCAGTTCAACATTCCAAATACCTGAAGAAGGCCAGAGCGTACAATGGCCGAAATGTTGTAGTAAATATGGCGACAAAGATGAGGACAATAGTCCGAATAATGTACATAATACCTCATCTCAGAAATATAGACAGACTCTAGATAGTTATTATTTTCTCCAGATATTTTGTGGATTATATCCCATATTTTGGGGGGTTTTGTATTGGAATTAATTTTTTCTACATAGTTATGCCACAAACTTTGTTTGGCTTTTTTAATTATTTTACATGCTTTAGCTCTGTTTTTGTACATATTTAAGTTTTCATTTGTTGGATTATTTTAAAATATTCTCAAGATTTCCTGGCAGGTTCTTACTTCTTTTTTTGCATTCCTCGTTGGACCAAGGTTTGCTGAATTTTCTTGAGATGGAGCATTTGGATATATTTTTTGCTAGCGACAGCATATAATGTTTTTATTAAATATGTAATATATTCTGGGGAGGCACGGTGGAGTAATGGATAGCAGCTTGGATTGAGGAAGCGGAGAATTGAGTTCGAATTCTAGTCAAATCCATTACATTCACTTATGTGCTAATAGCCTTAGGAAAGTTATGAATGGTCATCTCCCTCCAGCTATGGATAAATAGCAGGACATACCGGATTATTTAGCCTTGGATGGTAACTGGTCTACCGCAGAAATAAATGGCAACCTAATGCAGGAGAAAAATCTGCCTTGTCAGTCATGTATAAAAAGATACATGATCGCCTAAGCGTGCATGACACATGGCACATGACTGACTGAATATGTTCTTTATTTTCGCTTTTTATTAAAACCTGGTACTAGTTTAGATTGACATTGCTCTCCAAGTTATTCCATCATGGTGTTTTGCAATCTAGTTCTGGGGTTTCGAATATAATGGATAAGTGGTCACTTCCACTTGTGTCCCTATGGACTCTCCAGTTATAGTTCATCTAAGTGTTAGGGTCATATATATGTTGTAGAATATGTACCTTTTGCTAGGTGGAGATATGTATTTGTCTTCTTATTGTATAGGCATAGTTGTTTTTGATTTATCATTTCTATTGACTTAGCTCTTTTGTTTGTTTCAATCAGTTATGTGCCATGCGTAATACATGCTTCGGCGATCATGTATCTTTCGATACATGACTGATGAATCAGATCACCCCCCCCCCTGGCAGTAGGTTGCCATTTCTTTCTGCAGTAGACCAGTTGTCATCCAAGGCTACAGAACCTGATATGTCCTACTATTTACCCATAGCTGTGGGAGTAGAAGAGGATTCATACCTTTCCCAAGGGTATTAGCACGTAAGTGAATGTAATGGATTCAACTGCAATTTGAACTCGGCTCTCTGATTCCTCAATTCCAGTCAAATCTATTACATTCACTTACGTGCTAATACCCTTGGGAAAGGTATGAATCTTCTTATTTGTTTACTGCCCCAAATTATGTTGTGGTCATTTAAATCTCTCATCAGTCTGAAGAGTTCTGGTAGTTGCTAAGTTGTCCAGCTCGTATTTGTTAAGGGTTTCATTAGGTGGTATATACAATAAGCAAATTGTAAGTGTTTTGTGTAGTGTTGATGATATTGCAACTGCCTGCAGCTTTCTTTGAAGCTTTATTTTGATGTGTGGTATGTTATTAATGATAAACTGATGCACCACTTAAAGCTCTATCAGTATAATCATTTATTTAATTGCATGACTTGTATTATTTTACATTTGAAGTCTCATTTCCTTTTTGGTGTGTTTCCTGTAAGCATATGATTCATGGCTGTGATGAGTAATATTAGTCCTCAAAGACTGACCTTCCCACCTCTTATATTCCATGTTTTTATTTTTTTTGTGGGATCTTTGTTTGGATGGATTAGAAGTTCATGGGTCCTGTTCTTCGACATCCATCATCTCCAAACTTTCAAATTTATTTTGTGCCATTTCTATCATGATTGTTGGTTGCAGCTTTGATTTGGGGAGTTGTGCTTGTTTTTTTTCAGCTGCTTCATCTTGGGTTTTTTTTTTTTTTTAATGGTTTATGTGGGGGTTTGATCATTTTTCTTCCCCTTCTGATACATGCTTTATTTCTGAATGATTAGTTTTTCATTTCGCTTATATTGTTCTGTTCTCTCTTGGTTTTGTTCAACCTTTAGATGAAAATCTATAGTATGGGTAACATTTTTTTTTTTTTTTAAGAAAAATATTGGTTTTATTTCATTCATAAATCTGGGCCCATTTGTAGTAATTTTGTTATGAATATTTCCTATTTTGTTTCTTTGTTTTTGGCATTCATTGTGTTACTTTTGGTGACCTGTGATTTTTCATGTTTTGGAAAAGGGATATTCTTTGTATATTTTACATTCATTATCCCCCCCCCTTCCAGATTTTACATGATTTAGTGGAAGGGTGGGTGGTCTTCACCACAATTTACACAAGTGCAGTTAAGTTTACAGCCATTGTTGTGTGATCCAGATCTCTTTTCCCATATCTGCTGTATACTGTTTGCCCATTGCATATAATTTTGTGGTGGCCAAATTTTTGGCATTTAAAACAGTGCAGTGAATTTGGGATGAATTATTCCACCGTTTCATTGTCATAGCCTATTTTTATTTCTTCAGAGAGTAAGTGTGTTGAAAGTCATTATATGTATGTGTTTGTATAACTTGGTTTTCTTATCTTATGGATATTCTGTTTGCATCCACCATACCTTAGCTCTTCAATTTTGTTTAATTTCTCCAATTATGCAAAGAGAGACTTATCTTCTTAGTACCACACTTTTTTTAGGTATTTAGTGTTTTGTGTGGATATGTCTTTATTTTTTTGTGTGTGTGTGAAAAGTGTTAGTCTTCAGTAGAACATCTACATGTTTTTCCTTCTCCACTTTGATTATAATTGTGCCATTTTTTAGTGTTTTACCATTTTTGGGATGATGTTTGTATATATGACCTTTTGTATTACAAAAGGTCACAGTTTTGTAAATGGATTTTCCTCTAGTTTTTGCTTCTCATTCATTGTGGAAATTTTTTTTTTTTTTTGTTATTTTCTGATTTACTTTCCCTATCAGTACCCAATCATATTCTCTTTGACATTTTTTTTTTTTTTTTTTACTTCTTGTGATTGTTCAGTCATGCTCCCCAACAACCTCAGAGTCCCATATGGGGGAGAATCACCCCATCCCTCCAGGGCTACATAACAGATATACTCAAATATGGGGAGGAATTTGAGAACCTGTTATATTTGGGAACATCAACACAAGTATGGGCTTTCCTCAGTGTTTACAACAGCCATGTCAGATTCCTTTTTTCCTAACTTGATTGACCCTATAGCCACTGCTTACCAAGTCAGTTTTGGAGTTAGGTGTGATGAGTAGGGATTTGTTTTTTTTTTTGTTTTGTTGGTCTAACTTAGAGTTTGACATGACTAGCCAGTTGACCCCTCTAGCTGAAGTAAGAGCCAAAGTAGTGTGTTAGAATTCAGAATTATTCTACCTAACTCCTGAGGACCTAAATTACCAGGATCCTGTCCTCAGACATCATGGCCCAGACGGATGGGTAGGCGTTGTCTTACTGTTCCACAGAGGTGCAGTCAGTGTATTCTATAGCCCCCAGGGTGGAACCATGATGGGATCTCGCTAGACATGGACAATGGAATGAAAAGAATCCATCCCAGGAGATGGAATAACATTTTCAATTTGAAATTCCCTGGATCAACACACACTTGAAGAAGTCTAGGCACTGCAAGAGAGTACAACAACTGGAACGTTGTGTTACTAACAACAAACACAAGGTCATTAATCTGACTTTTAAGTAATAATTTCTCATTAAAAAAATTTATATTATTTAACAAGAGTCATCATTAACATATCTTTGTTTAATGATTTCATTTTGAATCATTTTATTTAAATCCTATTATTGTCAAATTTCATATTTTATGCATATAAATGAATCCCTGTAGTTTGACTGAATTGATTTGTTTTCTACAACTTATCAACTTATGCAGGTTATTTAAAGCAAGGAAATTTTTTGATTGTAAGAATTTGGCATGGGGAGATAATAACGATTTAGTGATACAAAAGAAAGCCTTACTAATTAATCCATAGCTGGGGGAAGAGTAGGTGGGTTTATTTCGTACCTTTCTTCCTCAAGGATAACGGGGAATTGAAACTAGGATCTTCGATTAACAATTCCGAGCAATTATCCATTCATTACACCACAGTAGTCTCAAATACCCCATCTACGTCGACGTTGCTTAACTTTGGTGATCGTACGGGAACCAGTGTTCTGATGATTAATGATGATCTCTACTATTGTTCATTCAGATGACTAAGAACCATTTCTACATTTTTTTTTCTAAATAATTTTATTGATGAAATTTAGTAAGTAAATTTTTGAGGCGTTTTTGGCGTTATCGTTAAAACTGATAAATAATCATTCAACCACCTGACTTAAATGAAGGAGATCTTCCCCTTTTTTTTATGGAGTATGTACTCAGAATATGAGGTCGGGTAAAGCAATCTAAGTTTAGTAATTCAGTATAGATTTGTGAGAAAAATTTCTGACTCTAGAAAATTGAATGTAGCAAAATAATAAATAAATAAAAGTAAAAAATTATGACTAAGAAAGACTAAAAGAAAAAATACAAAGAAAGAGACATTTTTTAAAAAAATTTTAACAAATAATCACAAAAAAGGGAGGCTTTCTCTATTAATTGAAATAAACAAATTAATCATGAATAAAAAAAAAATCTTAATGAAAAAAGTAAAGAAAGTTTTAGGAGTTAGTAAACAATAAACTTTTCATGTTTCTGTTTAGTTTTAAACAATCATTTTGTTAGGATCAGAACTTTTACAGTAAGTCCATTGACACCAAATTAAAAACAAGATCATCAATATTTATTTAAAATCGATAATGAAAACAACAAAAAAATAAATCAATATTATTTATTACTTTCTTGATCTCGTAAATAAAGATTGACGTTGTTACAAAATAAACATTTTAAAAGTTATTGATCTTCTTTAAAAGAAAAAGAATTGCCCTAAAGAAGAATTTTATAATCAAATTAATTAAAAATTACATCGTTTATCCAACCGGTTAAAATTTAATGTTAATTCAAGAAATATTGACATCAATTTAAAAAAAATGTAATGCTAGCTTTTTACTATTAGGCAACGATAACTGAATAAATACATGCATTATTAAGCAAGCAAAAATCAAATAATAAATATCATACCTCCTTTTTTTTCTTCTCCCCCCAAATAAACCAAATTCGCTCGCACTTTAACCTCAGTAGATCCAACTCTCAACTCGTTCAAAGCGAGACTGACGAAATACGTTCAAGGCGTGCTCCGGAAGTAGTATTCAAGAAACAAGCCAAGAAAGACCACTTTCTATTGGTTGTTTCATAAATCATTGACTAATCAGAGGGCATGACACAAACGACGCTTAAAGGCGGCATGTATGTGTGTATGGTTGGGAGAAGGGCGCGTGCATGATGTTATTTATGTTTCGTGTACTGTAACTGAAGATCTTCCCTCCTTTTTATGATATATATATATACACACACACACTTCATATTTATTTATCTGTTAGTCTAACTCAAGTTAACCGCTTCCATAGACAAAGTTACAGAAAAAAAGACTAAGACCAATTTATTGACGACATCAAGTGTTCAAAAACTGCAATTTTAACAAAAAAAAATGTTTTTCATGTCATCAAAGTTTTTTTAAAGTTAAAAAATATTACAATATGAATAACATTTTATTTTTAATTTACTAGCCAATCTGATGAAAAATTAGCAAAACTTAGTAAAATAAAATTAAAAAGTTGAAGAGAGCATTATTTAAAAAAAAAAAACGTAAAAATTGTTTATTTTCACACTCTTTAGAGAACTTTTATTTATTAAAAATGCACATTTTTAACAGGAGCAATCTGCAATAAGTAATAATAGAAAATCACTTTTTTTAAATTCAGGTTTAAGTTGTTGGCGAAAAAGAGGTAATTTTTTTTTTATTCATTTCTTTTCAACATCTTAATTTTACGAAATTTCAATAATGGTTTGACAAATTCATAATTAAAAAAAATAAAAATCAATCGTTTAAATTTCTTTCATTTAATTATAATATTCCCAAATTATTTTTAATTTTATGCTTTTTAGCTTAAAAATGACTAAAGAAAGAGAGAGTCCCAAACATTTATATGCGTGTTTGTGTTTTTTTCTACAAATTGGCAAAAGTTTTTCTTTTTTTTATCATTTTCTTTGAAGCTAAAACAAAAAAAAATAAGAGAAAATACAATTCTTTAAATACCAAATCCGATCTGGAACGGATAACCACGAAATGAGATCTATTGATAATTGATATTAGTAAATTAAATAGAAGAGGAGAAATTGCATATCGATGTCAATAGTAGGAAGTGTTTAAAAAAAAAAGAGTAACGTTTGAAGAGAGAGGGGGAGAGAAGAGCTAGAAAGGTAGTAAGTCAAAGAATGAGGAGGTGAGAGTTTTGAGAAAGCAATACTTGTTAATAAGAGAGTGAAAAACAAACCGCGGTAGAAAGAGCAAGCGAATTGTGAGGCTTGTCACCTCAGTTGGTAGGTCGGTCAGTCTTTCTAAGTAACTACTACTTTCGGCTCGAGTACTTAGTAAAAGTTGCGGAGAACTATTTTATTTCTAGGAGATGCTAACATTCGCCATGGCGCCAGGCTCTGGCTGAACAAGAATATTCTGCTGGATTTAGAAAAAGAAAGAATAATAAAAGCTTAAAATAAGAAAAACTTGTTGAAATGGCGACGAATGTGAAGATGGATTCACATGATACAAGTTCATCTCTTGGAGGCGGTAGCAACGTGTCAGCCGAATATTCCATGTTAATGCATGGAATAAACACCTGTGCTGCTCCGTTAGTCCATCAGATTGTCAGACAAAACCCTCAATTGGTCCATCACAAAGGTTAGTCTGTCTTTCTATGCTTCTTCCTTTTCTCTTTCTTTTAGAAATCAGGGTGGAGCACCCGAACCTACTTACGACAAAAAAAAAAAAAAAAAAAATTAACAATCAACATCTTTATTTTAATTCTTTTTTTAGCAATTCTAATTAAATATATTAAAAATCTCTGTGTTAAGCTAATGTTTCTGTTTCCAATCAATACTGATAGAAATTCTTGGATTCAATTCTAAGTTTGCTGTTCATTTTAAGACAAAAAAAAAACTAAAAAAAAACACGGGAGTTTTTAGAAAATACAAGTTTTACTTTTAAAAGGTTGAGCGCTTCTTAAAAAGAAAATAACAATTAATGGCATTAAAAACGTTATTTTTTCTATATTTTAAATAAAAGGATTCTTGCAATGATTAATTTGGTAATCTGCTTAAAAAGTAAAAATGTCACTTCCAATTTTGAGCCGTGTTCTTTCTTTAAATTAAATTCCCGTCCAAAAATGTCAAGTTGGGAACTTAGTTGTAATGTGGTCTGTGTTTATTGAATGTTTGATCGCCAAAAATTCATATAATTTTTCATTTATCTATTATTCAATAAATAAAATTATAAAATAAATCGATCTGTTCAGTTCACACATCCAAAATCGAAGACCTTTTTTTGTTTTTATTATATTACCTCAGCTGACTTGATTTCCTTGTTTCAAAAGAAAAATGATTTATTTATCATCCAAAAAGAAAGAAAAAATTATCTTTTTTACACTATTTTAGTTTTTAATTTATGTATTTTTTACAGTAAAATAAATAAATAAAAATTGAATTTCATAAATTAAAAATAAGTTAATCTGAAAAATATAAGAAAAAGAAAGCAATATTTTCCTCCAAGACTAATTTTTCTGTCTTAAATTGCATTTTTAAAATTTTTTTTAACAATATTGTTTCTTTTCATTTAAATTAAAATAAAAATGATTATTGGTGGGGTTGATGTATTTATTTTAAAACTAATAGAAATTGATAAAAATGTCAATATCGTTTCTTTTCAATAATGCACGGAACAAAATGAAATAATTTATCGCAGATTTTAATAAATTTTAAAAATTAAATAAAATAGAAATATCGCCCACTTTTTTTTTTTTTTTTTTTTTTTTTTTTGACATTTTTCAAAAGTCTACCTACAATCTACATAAATTCTTCTTGTAAAATCAACACTCCTTGGCTACCCCCCACCAAAAAAAACAACGATAATTTCTTGTTTATATTAATATTTTAAGTTAAAATTCTTTAAATACCAAAACATGCTAATTTCCAACTGTAATTACTTATTTTTATCTTATCTTTCACTTTTAGGCTTTGTTGTCAGTTTAACTAACACAGAACTCATGACTTCTAACAAAAACACGTATTTTTTTCTTCAAAAGGGATTTTGAGATATTTGGCAATTTTAAATATTTAAATTAAATTTGTTTCTTTATTTAACTGACTTTTTTTTCTTGATTGCCTCGTTTTTTTTTAGTTTTTTTTTAGTTCCTTCCGAGGTGTTTTTTTTTTTTTTTTTTTTTTCAGAAATTCTTTGGTTTTTTACATTTTGTTTTTCCTCTTTTAATTTTGAATTTTTACCTGAATGATATTCTGCTGCTGAAACCTCGATTTTGTGGAAAGTTTGGAATAACAGATTCGTGAAAATTCCAAGAATCGTTTGAAGGAAAATAAACAGAAAAGTATTTTATTTAGTAATTAAATTAAAATATTAACTTTCAAAATTAAATTCTAATTCATTGAGAGAGCCACTGTTTTTTTGTTTTTTTTTAATCATGGAAGGAAACAACACCATTTTTTCCTGTTTGAAATTCGTGATAGCTTTTGTAAATCTTTAAGAAGTCTCTAAGTCATTTCATTTTGTAATATGAAAGCATGGAAATTGGAAAGAAAAAAAAATACTTTAAAAAAAAATGGATTTAGCTAGATAGGGGGGGGATATATGAAGAATTTCTTGCTTTAATTAATTTTCTGTAAGAGTTTGACTCAAAACAAAATCATTTTGTTTGAGAAATACTTTAAAAAAAAATCTATTTTCTTTTCTCTTTCCCATTTATTTTTCTTTTAAGAAATAATGTTTAACTTCTAATTTTTTTAATTACCGTAAATAAATCTGTATTGAATAAAATCAGTCAGTTATGTGCCATGCGTGATACATGCTTCGGCTTAGGCGATCATGTATCTTTCGATACATGACTGACAAGGCAGATTTTTTTTTCCAACAGTAGGTTGCCATTTATTTCTGCGGTAGACCAGTTGCCATCCAAGGCTATAGAACCCAAATACATAGTTGGGAGAAGAAGAGAATTTATACTTTTCCCAAGGGTATTAGCACCTAAGTGAATGTAATGTATTTGACTGGAATTTCATTTATTAACTCTTCATGATTTGATTTTTCTTAAGTAAATATTTTACAATTTTTTTCAACAAAAATGAGAACAATTTAAAAAAAAGACAAAAACACCATATACTATTTCTCAAACATATACAAATTCTATGATAAAACTGCGTATTCTTAGATTTGTACATGGTGCTAAAGATAATTCCATCACCAATAAAGATAAGACTTGAAACGGTAGAGGTATAGTTCAACAAATACTGAGAATACCAGGGATGAAAAATGGCAGGAAGTTTTAAAGAAAATAGTAACAAACAGAACATTTCTACTTAAAATCAAAAAAAAGACAGTTGAAATTTCTGGTACCCATAATAAGAAAAAGGCACTTGGAGAATTAAAAACCCACATGGCATTAGAGACAAGTAGCAAACAGCAAGTAACCAACATTAGTTTATGTAAATTGTAAATGGATGCAGAGCTGGGACTGAGAGTGATGGTAAAGAGATAAACTTTAAAGAGAAACTAAAAAAGGCAGGAAGTTTGGAGAGCCATGATCACCCACATATTGAAGGAACATAGCAGATAAAAGAACAAGATCCCCCGAGCCCCGATTGATGGTTGATGGTTTCTTTTTTCTTTTCTTTTTTTTTGTGCTTTTGCCTTTAGCAATCGATGGTGGAGTAATGGATAGCAGCTTGAATTGAGGAATTGGACAGTCGGGTTCGAATTCCAGTTAAATCCATTACATTCGCATACATGCTAATACTCTTGGGAAAGGTATGAATCCTTTTCTTCCCCCTCTCCCAGCTGTGGGTAAATAGCAGGATAGACCAGATTCTATAGCCTTGGATGGCAACTGGTCTACCGCAGAAAGAAATGGCAACCTACTGATGGGGGGGGAGTTTGCCTCGTCGGTCATGTATTAAAAGATACATGATCGCCTAAGCATGTATCATGCATGGCACATAACTGAATCGATGAATCATCTGGGCTAGCATTCTCACCTTTGTCTTTATTTTTTTCTTCTCTGTTTTGATTGTTAGATTCTCTTACCGCTCTGAAATGTATGTAACATTTTGTCAAGTCATTTTTTATTTAAACAAATGAA